AGAGGTCATTGGATCCCCTGGAACTGGAGTTACAGACAGTTGTTAGCTGCCATGTGGGTGCTGGGATTCAAATCCGGGTCTTCTGCAAGAACAACCAGTGTTCTTAACTGCTGAGCCATCTCTCCAGCCCCTATTTATTTTTATTTTTTGTTATAGTGTATTGCCTGCATGTGTGTGAGTGCACCCATGTCGTGCAATGTTTCCAGAGGCCAGAAGAGGGTGTCAGATTCCCTGGAACTGGAGTTTTGGACAGTTGTTAGCCGCCATGTGCATGCTGGGATTCAAACCTGGGTCCTCTGCAAGAGCAGTCAGTGCTCTTAATGGCTAAGCCATATCTCCAGCCCCAGCTCGAGCACTGTCTGTCTGTCTGTTTGGGTGATGGTGGTGTCTGTGTGTCTCTGTCTATGTGTGCAGGTGGGCATGCCTGAGGAGGCCAGGGGAGGATGCCAGGTTTCCAGCTCTCTCTAGCTCTCATCACCATATTTTTTTGAGACGGGGTCTCTCCCTGATGGAGCTCATTGGCTCCCCTGTCCTCCCTGCCAGTCAGGCTGGCTGGCCAGCAGGCTTCTAATATCCACTTGTCTTTGCATCCCAGTGCTAAGTTAGAGCCACTAGTGGCTTTTTTACATGGGTGCTGGGGATTCGAACTCAGGTACTCACATTTGCACAGCAAGTGCTCTTACTGAGCCCTCTCCCCAGAACTTGTTTGTGCAAATGTTATAATTTGAAATGATTTCAGACTGAGAGTGCCCTTCATCTGACACTCCTGACTGACGTGCCACTTTTGTGATAACTATATTTTTCTTTTGGAGGATTTTTTTTTTTTTTTTTTCTTGAGACAGGGTGGCTAGCTGGCCTGGAACTCCCTATGTAGACCAAGCTGGCTACAGAGATTTGCTGCCCTCTGCTGGGATTAAAGGTGTGCACCATGCTCAGCCTTAATTTTCTTTTTTTAAACAAAAGATTCATTTTTAAAAATATTTCATTATTTTTACTTTTTAAAAAATATTTTATGGCCAGGCATGGGGGCACACGCCTTTAATCCCAGCACTCGGGAGGCAGAAGCAGGTGGATCTCTGTGAGTTCGAGGCCAGCCTGGTCTCCATAGTGAATCCAGGACAGCTGGGGCTACAGGGAGACCCTGTCTCAAAAACACCAAAAAAATTTTTTTATTTATTATTTTTATTTTATGTGTATGAGTGTTATGCATGTATGTGAGTGCACCCATGCCGCAGAGGTCAAAAGAAGGCATTAGATTCCACTGGAACTGGAGTTAAGGATGGTTCATCGTCACCATGAGGGCACTGGGAATCAAACCCAGGTCCCCTGCAAGAGCAGTCAGTGCTCTTAACCTCTGAGCCATCTCTCCAGCCCCCCAAATAGTCATTATTTATATTTATTTTATTTTATTTTGGGGGGGGTTGAGACAGGGTCTCCCTGTAACCAAGCCAGGCACGGTGGCAGGCAGCACTGGGGAAGCTGTGATGGAGGGGGGGCGGCTGGAGCCAGCCCAGCCTACTGGAAGAGCTCAGGCCAACGAGAGATGTCATCTCAAAAGACCAAGGTGGACAGCTCCTGAAGAGCAACACCCAAGGCTATGTCCCAAGCACCCAGACAGACGTAGACCCAGACCCAGACAACCCCCCACCCCGCCACACACACATGATCCAGGATCACAGTCTCTTGCTTGTGTTCTTTGGTCTCCAACAGCTTCTTGGCTGTTCTTTGACTTTTACCATCCTGGCAATATATAGTTGCATTTCCCTCCATTTGGATTCGTCTGATTACTATCAAGTCATGCATTTCTGGCAAGAAAAGATGTACAAATTTGTAACCGCAAATACATAATCATGTTGTATTTACTTTAAATTTTTTATTTTAAATTATGTATATGTGTGTCTGTATATGTGGGTATGTGCACGTGAGTGCAGGTGCTCATGGAGGCCAGAGGCACTGGATTCCCAGAACTGGGGTTATACATGGTTGTGAGTTGCTTGATGTGGGTGCTAGAAACTGAATGCAGGTCCTCTACCAGAGCAGTACTCACTCTTAACTGTTGAGACATCTCTCCAGCCCTGCATTTAATTTTTTTAACTAAAAGATGAGTGTGTCGGGTGTGGTGGTATATGCCTGTAATCTCAGTACTTATGTGGCTAAGGCAGGAGGTTTGCCACGAGTTCAAGGCCAGCCTGATTTACATACTGAGGCCCAGGCCAGCCTGATCTACAGAGTGCTCAGACCAGTGAGAGATACAGAGTAAGACCCTATCTTTACAAAAAAAAAAAAACCAAACCAAGTGTGGTGGCACATTCCTTTAATTCCAGGACTCAGGAGCAAAGGCAGGAGGATCTCTGAGTTTGAGGCCATCCTGATCTACATAGCAAGTTCCAGGGCAGTCAGGGCTACATAGTAAGACCCTGTCTCCAAAAAAAAATTAAAATTATAAATAAATAAATGAGGATAGGGATGTAGGTCAGGTGGTAGAAAGCTTGCCTAGCATGCAATAGGCCCTGGGTTTGACCCTTGGCACTTGGAAATTGAGGCAGAAGTTCAAGGTCATCCTCAGCTACATGGTAAATTCAAAACCATCCTGGGATACAATAGACTCTGTCTAAATAAACAAAACAACCCAAAATAAATACCAAAAGATGAGAGCCAGACATGGTAGCAAAACTCAACACTGGGGAGACTGAGGATTATGACGAGTTCGATACCAACCTTGCAACATAGGTAGTTCTGCACTAACCTGAGCTATTATAGCAAGACCCTGTCTCAGAAAATAACGACATTAACAACAAAATAAGACCAAACCAGCAATGATCAAATAATTCACTTGCAGCTAGAAAAGGCAACAAAATATGTAGTTGCGGGGAGTCTGGAGAAGTCATTGAGAAGGGGAGAACCATCAAGGTCTTGGGTGGCTGTGGACTGTGGCAACATGGAGCCTGGAGACGGAAGCCAGACTATGGGATGGTGTGGGAGGCAGTGTGTCACCCTGGAGCCAGATGCCTGGGTTTGAACCAGGCTCTGCTGCCTAGCAGCTATGACCTTGGGAAGGTCATTTAATGTCTCTGTATGGCAGTTTCTTGAGCTGTGAAGTGGAAAGATACCTGTTCTAAGTGTTGATTTGGATGGCTAAAAACCTTGGGGGCATCCCAATGTATTATCAACAGCATTGCCTGGGCTGCATGGAGGCCCAGGGTTGAGGTTCAGCTTTCTTGGAAGCATGCCCACCATGGACCAGAGTGGACATGGGGCATTTTGGCAAAAGGAGACCCTGGGATCCAGGCAGTCTGGTGTTGGGGTGTGGTGTCACTGAGAGCAGGCTAGAAAGAGGACAGAGCCTCCTGGAAGGCTGGCTGTGGCCCCCCTGATACAGGCTGCCCTCCTTTCCATGCCCCTAACTTTCCCCCTAAGCGCCCCTGTTGTCAGGGACCCCGCTCTCCAACTCCACCTGTCCCACTTCCCAGGGACCTGGCGACCCCGCAGATCCATCATACTGGCCAGCTGGGGGGCAGAGGAGTTCGGGCTCATCGGCTCCACGGAATTCACTGAGGTGAGTAACCCCACAAGGGGATGGGTGGAAAGGGGCTCCCTGGGTGAGGCAGAGCCGGATTGAGGTGGCCCTCACCCCGCAGGAGTTCCTTAACAAGCTGCAGGCGCGCACCGTGGCCTACATCAACGTGGACATCTCGGTGTTCGGTACGGGGCGGGCTACAAGGCGCCAGACAGGCGGGGGTGGGCGAGGAGGAGACGTGGCTGGGTCCCAACTGGCCTCCTCACTTCCTCCCACAGCCAACGACACCCTTCGGGCGCAGGGGACGCCTCCGGTACAAAGCGTCATCTTCTCGGCCACCAAAGAGGTGCAGGGGGTGGGAGGGGCTACTGGGGTGGGTGGGGCCACGAGGGTAGGCGGGGCTGGCCCATGAATCACAGCTGGAGATCCTGGTCCCATGGAGACCCCACCTGGTTCTTGGAGCTAGGATCTGCCCTGAGCCACATTGTCTTCTGCACCAGATCAAAGCACCAGGCCCCAGTGGCCTCAGTATCTATGACAACTGGATCCGGTACACCAACCGTAGCAGTCCAGTGTATAGCTGGATTCCCAGGTGAGCCTAGGGACAAGTAGACAGGGGACCACGTGCGCGGCAGGCCCACCCAGCACCCTCCAAATGCCGTCCTCTTTCTTCCTCCAGCATGGGTACTCTGGGTGCAGGCAGCGACTATGCCCCCTTCATTCACTTTCTGGGCATCTCTTCCATGGACCTGGCCTACACCTATGATCGGGTGAGCAGGGACTCCCCTATCCCTCGCCTCAAGATACTGTGCCATTAAGTCCTAGGGGTGGGTCTAGTACAGAGTGGGTCCAGCTGGCTGATTCAATAAATAACTGGGTGTCTCAGTTTCAATTCCTGTTGCTGTGATACAATATCATGCCAAAAGCAACTTAGGGAGAAAGGATTTATTTGTGGGCGAGCCCCGGGGATCTCAGAGCGCCAGCTGCTGACATGACGCCAGTCTCTCGCGCGCCACTGGGGCGGGTCCCTGCTGTGCAGGTCCCTGGCTCTCCGGGGCTACCAGAAGCTGGCGGCTCTGCCGGCAGCTGTCAGCTGCCAGGGCGGTTCTGTTCCAAGCTGCCCGCGCTCCCTCTGTGTACACGATCCGTATGCGATCCATCGGCCACCGGATCACGAGGGGAGGTGCAAGAACTGCGAAAGCAAGGTCTTCGGGAGTGGTTGTTTACGAAGGGACAGCCCCCTCCGGGGAGACTGAATCGTAGGCCGTAAGACACAGGATACAGCTCAGTCAGACTCAGTGGTACAGCTCCGTGATTCAGCTCCGATTTATTAGGGGGAAACCAGGATATTTATAGTGTGGAGGCAGTAGCAAAAGCCTTAGTTGATAGGTGCTTTGTAGGATGCCCCATTTACATGTGGTGGTGGGCTTCTGTCAGGCTGTCAGACAGTGCCTGATTATCACACAGGAAAACCTGGCAGTTTCTTTGCCAGAGGTCATGTATCTGTGACGGCCACTTCAAAGTGAGTCAGGAAGGAGAGCAGAAGGCGCCCCACTGAGAAGAGGAGTCTCTCCATTTGCGCCAAGCCGGCTTGCGGCTATCCGGACATGGAGAGACTACAAGCCAAAACAGCAGGGGTCCCCAACATTTATTGTTTTTAATATTTTATTTTATTGTGTATGAGTGTATTGCTTACATGTAAGTGCACCTGTGCAGTGCAATACCCTCAGAGGTCAGGCGTCAGATCCCTTAGAACTGGAGTTACTGATGGTTGTTAGCCATCATGTTGGGTGCTGGGATTCATACCCAGGTCCTCTAGAGGTCTATCATAGCAAGAAAGTTACAGTGGCAGGAGCTTGAGGGAACTGGTCACATTACTGGTCTCCGTGCTCTGGCCCTGCCTAGGGATTGGTGCTGCCCACAGTGGGCATGCCTTCCCACCTCAATTTAATTAGGTCCACAGGCCAGCTTGCTCTAGACAACCCTAGTCCCTCATTGAGACTTCCCAGGTGGTTCTAGGTTGTGTCAAGTTGCCAGTTTTTGAAAACTGTCACATTGGGCAATGCAGGACAAGTTCTCTGAGCATCTGCTTACACTCATCCAATGTTTTTTTTCTTTCTTTCTTTTTTGGCCTTTTTGAGACAGGGTCTCCCTGTAGCCCCAGCTGGCCTGGAACACACTATGTAGACCAGGCTGGCCTTGAACTCACAGATCCGCCTGCCTCTGCCTCCTGAGTGCTGGGATTAAAGGCATGCACCACCACACCCAGCTTCCAATGTTTTTTTGATCTTTTTGAGACAGGGTCTCCCAGTAGCCCCAGCTGGCCTGGAACTCACTATGTAGACTAGACTGGCCTTGACCTCTGAGATCCACCTGCCTCTGCCTCCTGTGTCCTGGGAGTAAAGGTGTACAACACCAGGCTGGCCTCATCTGATATTTTATCAAACGAAAGATACCACTGTTTCATCACACTGTTTAGTCAGTTCCAGCGCTTGGGAGGCAGAGGCAGGTGGATCTGTGAGTTCAAGGCCAGCCTGGTCTACATAGCGCATTCCAGGCTAGCTGGGGCCATAGGGAGACCCTGTCTCAAAAAGAAGTTAAGGACCCAAGAGGATTTATAGCATCGGTGTGGAGGTGATCGAGATGGGGTCTGCCTGTGTCTCCACTGTGGATTCTTTAAAGCCCTTCTTCCTCCTATCTGCGCTGTCTAGGGTGGTGGAGCTGAGATCCTGCTCCCCATACCTGACTTTTAAGTCTCAGGCTCTTCCTTCCTGAGAACCTGGCACCACCCCAGCTCTGCCTCTTATTAGCTGGGTATTGTCCAGCAGATTAAGTTCTGAGTCTGTTTCCTCCTCTGTATAGACTGAGCCCCCATCCTAGATTTGACAAGGACTGAGACAGCACTGAGACAGTCACTGTGAGCACACCAACTTCCCACCCCAAGCAAGCCCAGTCCCTTTGTGCCTTGTTTCCCCAGAGCAAGACCTCAGCCCGGATCTACCCCACCTACCACACAGCCTTTGACACATTTGATTACGTGGAGAAGTTTCTGGATCCTGGTGAGGTGGGGACAGGGACATCCTGAGGCTGACAGAGAAGGATGGGCTGATGACACAGCTCTGGCCTTGTATCTTCCCGGCAGATTTCACCAGTCACCAAGCCGTGGCTCGGACTGCAGGGAGCGTACTTCTCCGTCTCAGTGACAGCTTCTTCCTGCCCCTCAATGTCAGCGACTACAGCGAGACACTACGCGGCTTTCTACAGGCTGCCCAGCAAGGCCTGGGTGCCCTGTTACAGCAGCACAGAATCAGCCTGGGTAGGAACACCCCAACACCCCTACACTTCAGCTTAAGGAGCCCTGCATCTCCAGGGCTAAGCTCGCTGTTTCCCCACAGAGCCCCTGGTGACTGCAGTGGACAAGTTTGAGGCAGCAGCTGCAGGCTTGCTACGGCGCATCTCAGCACTGCAGAACAGCCCTGAGTGAGCATGGGCGGTGGGCCGGTGGGGGGCGACAGCACAGCCAGGGCACACAACAAGTTAGTAGCTGTTGCAGGGTAACCCACAGGTCCTTCAGCCCTCTGCAGGTGCGGATGGTCAACGACCAGTTGATGTTCTTGGAAAGGGCATTCCTGAACCCCAGGGCCTTCCCAGAGGAGCGCTACTATAGGTGAGCCTGTCCCAAAGTTCCTGGGCAGTGCGGCCAGGCAATGGCTGTCTGCCCAGGAGGGAACATTTGCCTGCTCCAGAGCACCATCCACCCACTGATGCCTGGGGAATGAGGCCCATCCCCACTGCCCTAAGCCCCTGCTTTCAGAGATGGCAGGGGGTGTTGTGCTCTGGCTCTGGGTGGTGGCTGAGGCCCCACTGATCCTCAGCTTGACCTTTCTCCTCAGCCACGTGCTCTGGGCACCCCGCACAGGCTCCATTGCCACATTCCCAGGCCTGGCCAATGCCTGCTCCAAGGCCCAGGACACCAACTCTGGATCTGAAGCTTGGGCTGAGGTGAAAAGGCAACTGAGCATTGTAGTGATGGCCCTGGAGGGTGCGGCGGCCACCTTGACCCCTGTGGCTGACCTCTGACCTATCTCCTGGGCTCTTCCTTTCCACTGTACCTCTTGTTCCTGTTTTTCTGGGGTGTCCCTAACCTCTCTAAGGCCAGTAGACCAAACTAGGAGACACTCTCAAGTGTTCTGAGCAATGGCAGGGGGTCCCAACAGTTAAGGACCTGTGAAGAGAGTAGCAGGTTCTAGGTGATGGTCCCTACCGTTGGCTCCTGCCTGGCAGAGTGAATAGCAGGAGAGGGGCTGGGTGGGTATGGAATGGAGAGTCACTGTAACAAGTGAACAGAAGACGAATGATGCCAGTTCAGAGACCACCACGGCCCCCTCAGGGTGAAACTAGGGCCAAAATACACTCCTCCCTCATAAGTGTTGAATCTTCCCTTATTCCCCAAATAAATGAAATCCAACTGGTTCCTACAAAACAAGTCTCTTTTATTGTCTGGGAATCATGAAGAACCCAGGTGCTCTGGTCCAGCCCTTGGGGGAGACTTCACAGCAACCCCCTCAAGCTGGAGACCCAGGTCTGTGTACACCCTCCTCGTCCTCTTCTGCCATGACCACCTCCTCCAGGGTTCGTCCTTGCAGCTTGCTTCCCACTAACACATCACAGGTACTGGCTGGTGGGAGTCCCTTCTCGGCGTAGCAACCCCTCAGGAACACCACTTTGTCCTCATTCAAAGGCAGTCCATGGGCCTGACACAAGTCGCGTGCTTCATGGAGTCCATCCAGGGCCAGGAGGTGCACCATGAAGTCCAGTGGCAAGGCCTGCCCCTTAGGGGTGCTCAGGGCTCGAGAAAGGCGGGCCAGGGCTCTGCGGCGAGCATGGTCAACATGGCCCTGCGCCGCACAGCTTTGTAGGTAGGGCAAGGTCCGAAGCAGGCGGAACAGGCGGGCATCATTGCCCTCACGGAAGGCAGCGTCAACAGCCAGGGCATTTTGAAGGGTCGAGCAGGCACGTAGTTCAGCAGGCAGCTGCAGAACCTCCTGCAGGGCCTCCACAGAACCTGTGAAGACAGGAAACAAATGTAACAGTGCCAGGTCCTTCCTGGATCAGGCCTACCTCACACTCCACCCCCTCCAGGCCTCAGCAAGGGTCATCTCCTCCAGTCCTAGGCAAGCTACCTCCGGACCTTTGTTCAATCAGCCCAACTGCTGACTCTGGTCACACCTATCATTGACCAGGTCCCTCAGCCAGCCTAGCACACTTCCTTTCTCCCTCCGCAATCAAGATCCAGCCGCCATACCCTTCTCCAATCTGTGTTTGTGAGGGGCCTGAGGCTATCCTAAAGCTCATACGTAGTACTGGTTGATCCAAGCTAAGTTTTTCTAACCAGGGTTTCACACTGTCCTGGTGGCTCACCATCCAAATTTGGAGATGCTGGCTTTCCCCTAGCTATCTGGGAAGGAGACTCTGCCCTGTTTCTTTTCCAGAAAAATCTTAGATACTGGAAACTTGGGCCACTTTTGCAAATTACTCGTGAGTTTTAAGTCATGGTGGTGGGGGATGGAGTGGTTAAGAGCACTGGCTGCTCTAGAAAAGGACCCAGGGTTCAGTTCCCAGCACCCACACAGCAGCTAAGAACCTTTGGTAACTGCAGTTCCAGGGGTCCTGACGCCCTCTTCTGGCCTCCAAAAGCACTGTGTGCATGGGTGCACTTACATACTTGCAGGCAAAACAATAATACATATAAAATAATAAAAATCAAAACAAATTTAAAGTCAAAGGTGTGGTGGACATGCGTAGGAAACCAGAATGCCAGGCCCTAGGGTGAGATGAGCCTAAAATTTTTAAGGCCAGGCTCCATTCTCTGCTAAAGGAAGGGGCGCTGAAAACAGCACCTCTCTGATCATCCCTGTCTTGCAGAACACTGAGAGACTGGCAGGAGAAAGCCCCCAGATCATAAGTGCAGGCTCCTTGCTCTGTGGGAAAGTGCCTTGGTCAACAGCATCACCCTGTCCTGAACTCAGCTGTCATCAGCTAAGAGATTAGGCCAGGTTAAAGGTTTACTCCTGAGCTGAAAGCTAAAAGTTTACCATGCTTTTAGCCCTAAGAAAGAAAACATTGTGGCAAATGGTAACCTTGAGTAAAGGTTTAAGCATCCTTCTGGTGCCAACTAACAGACTATATGTCCTGTTTCTTTGTGCCCTAAATCTTTTTATGTGACTGCCATAACCTCATGTGCCTGCCAGTTCCTTGTAATGTATAAAAACCATCTGAATGTTGTAATAAACAGCTTGTTGTAAAGACACAAGTCCCAGGGTCCAAGACTCTGTCACCAGTCAGTATCGCCATCCATCATGAGAGCGAGGTTCCCCACCGAGCAAGGCACACTTGGGTCTCTCAATTACTGGTGCCTGTAACAGGGCCCCTCTCTGACCTCCTTCATGGAGGATGGTGCAATCCTCCCCCTTTGACTGATCAGATCTGCTTATCACAGTTTATAGGTAAGGAGCAGTCATGGATTCTAAGTGCATGCAGAAATCAAGAGGTGTTAATGTACAGAAGCTCAGATTAAGGCCTTTTTAGATAGTTTATCGGATTGCAATCCCCCGTTCCAGAAAGAAGGAACCAATAGTTTAGAAAGATGGAAAGAAGTAAGAAAAAATGGACAGCATTGCTGTCACAAAGGAGGAGCTGCCCATTGATTGGCTGCCTTCCTCTGATCATGCTAAAGAAGGGGTACCTCCTCCCTCAGATTCCCCCCTCCTGCTGCTGCCTAGCTACCCGTGCTCCCTTCTGTCTCTGTGCTCTATCCTGCTGCACAAGCACCCACCTATAATTCTCTTAGAAAGGGAGAGTCGCCCCCCACTTTGGGATCTTGGCAACCCCTAGGGCATATGCTTCTTATACCTCACCCTCTGCTTCTGACCCTGAATCTCTCCTTCCCATGTTTCAAAATCTGCTCACAGGAGACACTTTCTCTAGAGAACCTTCTCCCTTGCCACATCCTTCCCCTCAGTTCTTTTCAGTTCACATTCCAGCAGCTGGCAACCCTGAACTCAGAATGCATAGTCCTTTTGGCTTTGAAACGCTGAAGGCGGTGATGGAAAGGGTATATGCAGTTATTTTACCATGGCAATCTTTGATCAGCTTAGCCATAAATTAGTCACTGCTTGGGACTTTAAACACCTCGCCCAGGCTGCTCTGTCCCCAGGACAGTGTCTCCTTTTTAAGTCTAAATAGGACTTAAAATGCTCAAGCTAACGTTGCTGTGACAGCTGACACGCTTAAGGGTGAAGGTCAATATGCTGCCGCTGAGCATAAAAGGTTTTACCAGCTCAATATTTTGATCAGGTGCGCCTCTGTGCCTTAAAATCCTGAAGATCTACTGGGCATGGCGGCGCACGCCTGTAGTCCCAGCACTCGGGAGGCAGAGGCAGGCGGATCTCTGTGAGGTCAAAGCCAGCCTGGTCTACATAGTGAGTTCCAGGACAGCTGGGGCTACAGGGAGACCCTGCTTCAAAAAGACCAAAAAAGAAAAAAAAAATCCTGCAGATCTACACCAGATGGTGAAATGGCCCAAGCTAACTTAGCTGATCTCAGATAAAAGCCACAGGAGCAATGGGTTGATTTCTTAGCTAGGGTCCAGTGAGTGGGAGAGGCTAAGGTCCCTTATATAGAAGCCACCAGATTTTAATAAAACTTGCTTATGATGGCTCAAATCAAGAACATAAAGCAGCAATTGCTCCAGTAAAAAGTCAAGATTTGTTTTCCTGGGTAACGGCTACTCAGGACATTGGCAGTTTCAGCACAGGCTAGCATGATGGCAATTGCATTAGCATAAGCTTTCGCTGCCCAAATGAAAGATCCATCCATTTAGTTGTTGTTGTTTTTTGGGGGGTCTTTTTTTTTGAGACAGGGTCTCCCTGTAGCTCCAAGCTGTCCTGGAACTCACTATGTAGACCAGGCTGGCCTTGAACTCACAGAGCTCCACCTGCCTCTGCCGAGTGCTGGGATTAAAAGCGTGCGCCACCATGCCCAGCTCATGGTTTTTTTTTAATTTTATTTATTATTTTCGTTTTATGTGTATGAGTGTATTGCCTGCATGTAAGTGAGTGCACCTGTGTCCTGCAATGCCACGGAGGTCAGAAGAGGGCTTCGGATTCCCCTGGAACTGGAGTTAAGAATGGTTTGTAGCTACCATGTGGGTGCTGGGAATCGAACTCAGGTCAGCCAGTGCTCTTAACCACTGAGCCATCTCTCCAGCCCCAAGAACCATGTTTTAAATGTGGAAAAATGGATCACTTTGCAAGACAATGCCCTTCCATGGATCACAAGCCTATACCTGATCCCCCACCATCAGGCTCGCAACCCAAACCAAATAAAAAATGCCCTAAATGTCAAAAAGGTTTCCATTGGGCTAGAGATTGCCATTCTAACATCAACAAAAATAGCAAAACTTTATTCAAGAGATGGGGCAGCCCTCAGCCCCACAACCAAGAGGGTCAGCAGCCTCAGTGGAAGTAACACCCCCCGGGCATTGTGGACTCGCCCTGTAACATCTGATCCTAAGCCTATAATGACCCTAATAGTACAGGGAATTGCTATAATGGGTGTTGGGGACCCCTGCTGTCTAAGGTAGCAGTCTCTCCATGTCCGGATAGCCTCGCAGGCCGGCTTGGCGCGAATGGAAGGACTCCGTCTCTCAGCGGGGCGCCTTCCTGCTCTCTTCCTGACTCACCTTTTGAAGTGCCCGTCACATATACATGTCCGCGGCATGAAACTGCCAGGTTTTCCTGTGTGATAATCAGGCACTGTCTGACAGCCTGGCAGAAGCCCACCACCACATGTAAATGGGGCATCCTACAAAGCACCTATCAACTAAGGCTTTTGCTACTGCCTCCACACTATAAATATCCTGGTTTCCCCTAATAAATCGGAGCTGAATCACTAAGATCTGGCGCTGAGCTGAATCACTAAGACCTGGAGCTGAGCTGAGTAACTGAATAAAGGAGCTGTACCACTGAGTCTGACTGTGTCTTACTGCCTACGATTCAGTCTCCCCAGAGGGGGCTGTCCCTTCGTAAACAGCCACTTGCGAAGATCTTGCTTTCCCGGTTCTTGCACCAACCCTTGAGACCCAGTGGCCAACGGATCACGTACATAGAGGGAGTGCTCGGTAGCTTGGAACGGAACTCGCCTGGAAGCGCAGCGACCCACAGAGTCGCCAGCATCCGGTAGCCACGGAGAGCCAGGGACCCGAACAGCAACGCGGTGCGTGCAACCTGCTGCACTCCAGCGGCGCGCGCGAGACCGGCGCCACGCCCAGCAGCTGGTGCTCCGAGATCCCTGCGCACCCACAAATGGGTCTGTTAGATACAGGGGCTGATTAATAAATTATTAGACATGGAGACTGGGATCACTGCAGCCTGGCTCTCCCGCTCCTGCAGCTGAGCCTGCAGGACATGCTATTATAATAGATATATGGGGCTGGAGAGATGGCTCAGAGGTTAAGAGTACTGGTTGTTCTTGCAGAAGACCCAGGTTCAAATCCCAGCACCCTCATGGCAGCTAACAACCGTCCGTAACTCCAGTTCCAGGGGCTCCCCAACAGCCTCTTCTGTCTTCTGAGGGCATTGCATGACAGGGGTGCACTTACCTACATGCAGGCAATACACTCATACACATAAAAATGATTAAAAATTTTTTTAAAAAGATTTATAATAATTGATATAAAAGATTGTTTCTTTTCTATTCCTTTACATCCTGAGGATAGAGAGGGTTTTGCTTTCATTATCCCTGTCAACAATCACTCTGTTCCCATGCAGAGGTATCAATGGAGAGGCCTACCACTGGGAATGAAAAATAGTCCTACTATATGCCAATTTTATGTGCATAATGTAATTAGTCCAATACGGAATTCCCTGTGGTTCTTGTTCATTATATGGAAGATACTCTTAGTCACCCTTCTAGTCAACTTTTAGAAGTTATGCTAACTAAAATAACAACTGTTTTAACAAAATATGGACTTTATATTTCCTCAGAAAAGATTCGAAAACATGC